CTCATTTTGAATTCCCAAATGATTTCACGTTTTGTTATAAAGAACCCAAAAGAGTTTACATTCCGTTAGGTCGAACCCGAAGGTCCACTGACAATTCATGCATAAACTATTGAACATAAAAGTATAAGGAAACGAACAACTTGCACAAAAAGTATCTTACCTTGATTGATGAAACGAATTTTTGATATAAAAATATATTTAGAATTTACAGCTGCTTTCTATATGAAAATTGCTATGTAAAATTCTATGTGGTGAATTGTGAGATATGGGCACACTATATATAGGGAAAAACAGTAGTTGAGTCAAAATAGAATTGTGATAAAACTCGTGTCCATCTAGTTTGATAAAAATTGAATTCTCTATAGATAAATCACAAGATGACACGTGTCCATCACAAAAAAGAAAAAATTTCAATCTCAAAAGGTGATAATGACAACTTTGACTTTAAATATAAATCCTAATAAAATATTATTTTCACATCTATTCTCTACACGTGACAATCCTCATTCAATTTCAATTTAATTTTGAAAATATAAATAAATTACAAATTTCTTTAAACTTAATATCTTGAGACCTACTTATCCGAATTAACTTTTTCTCGAGCATATTTTCATTATTAAAAATGAGTTGCCAAACGAGACCCATATTGATATACTTTTCGTCGCTCTATCAAAAACCAAATATTTGACCCAAAACATAAGAATTTAATACTTTATTTTTAATCCCTCAACTTTCAAAATCATAAAATTGAATACAAAATTTTATTCTAAAATTTTCGAGGTGCTACATGCTCTACTTGGATTTTATGGAAGAGGTGGATGAATTTTTTCTGTTGGAGAGTTTTGTGGAGAATTTTTGTTGAAGAGCCAAGTTCTATTCCTTACAGGGAATTCTTCTCTAGGTAAAGAATTTTTTTAACCTTCGGTCATCGTAGTAGAATTCGTGTAAATGTTGAGATTTGTTAATATATGACCCAAATTCATTGGATATTGGCGTTTTGGTTGAAAAGGGAGTTAAAAGGTCAAAATATGATTAAAAGGGTGTTTGGGAGGCACCCTATTTGGGCACATAGGCGCTATATAGAGTGGAAAATCAGATTTCGAATAGAGATTCAGTCCCAGTGCCAAACTGTGCGCTGCACCACTGCTCACTTATCGCTTACCTAGAGCTCGAACGTTGCCCACTGCTCACCTAGCATGAGTTTTGGAGCTTGAGCGGCCAAGTTATCCAGGAAAATTTGTTTCCCTTTTTTGACGCGACTTTTGATCCTCTTTTTATATAAAACATAATCTTTTGGGTTCTATATATAGTCCACGTGATTTTGACTTTGTACAACAATAGAATATAATCTTGGAACCCAAATCATTGTATTTTCTCTCCTTATTAATAAAATTTTCCTTTCCTGCTCATGGTGTTTTCCTCGTTAATTTTTTGTGTTCTTGTGTTGTGAGTGCTATGTTCACATCGCTATCAATTCTTGTCGTAAATTTACTAACATCATGGATGCAAAATTTGAAAATAAATTGTGTTTAAAAATTTATGATAATCTGTCTCATATAACATACTTGGAGCACTATTCATCCCCAATTTCATGTGTTGCAGCAATAACATGATTAGCTGGCATATATAACCAGAAACGGGAACCAACAAAGGATTGAGACATAAGTATAGTAACATGAGCTAACTGATGACTAACACTAAAGTAAATTAAAGTTATTTGACTGTGACACATTAAAGTTGAGTGATCCAATTGCACATTCAGTGATAAAAATGAAATTAATAGTATAAGCAAATATAGGACAATATTTTGATCTCTAAAGTTAGTCCTGAGAGGCTTTGAGATGTTTGTCATTTAGATTAATTACTCGACCGTAGTAATCCGACGAAATGAAAGACAGAGGTTTATTCTAGAAATGTTATGGTTATGTGAAAAGTTGGTCCTCTTTAAATTGGAAAGTAGCTTTTGCATTACAAGTACTTTTAGACGATGGATCTGAACGTTAAAAGGTCTTTTTTAAAGGACGATTATATCTAATTTCAATTGGAAAAAAATATATATATATACATAAAAATCGGGAAGGACGTGGCAGGGGTGGGGATAAAAAGTTGGCTAGGAGGCTAAAGGTCTATTCTCTTTATCATTTTCAAGTCGTTTTCTGTTTTCGATTTTCCAAAACAGTGAAAACGCGTTCTCTTTCTTATTTTCGAAAACGTGTTTTTGAAAACAAGTTAAAAATTTACAAAGAAAATCCAAAACGGCAAATTTGTCGTTTTGGGTGTTTTCAGTTATAATCAAATCAAAATTTTTAAAACGCATTTTGGGTGTTTTCAAAACAATTTTTCAAAATGCCAAAAAGAACACATTTTCAACAATCTCAAAATGGACACTCAAAATACAAAATCAAAAATGAATTCAAAACTCAAAACACAAAACTGAAAGAAAGTTATTTGTTGAGCAGCAAAGAAAGTTTAAGAACTAAAATATCGTGACTTAAAGATTCGGGTACAAGTTCCTACGTAGCCAATTGGTTAAAATCCATACTGGAAATTTCCCTTTAATTCTTCCTATGTTCTTGTTGGCACAAAGAGGGGTTAGACACATGATCACCATCTAACCATCAATTATTACGTAATTAAAAATACATATAAATAAATTTCTCAGAGATCGTATATATGAAATTATTATATGTTATATGTCGATTACTTGGAGTTTTGTGGTGTCTGTTCATGCATAATACACGAATGTCGTACATTCTAATTCAATACTAACCACTTCATTTTGTTGATAAAGTAAAGAAAAATGAAAATATCATAATTGAAGTTTGAAGATTCCTTGCCCTAACTAAGAGAGAATTACTACCAATGAAGCAATTGGTAAGAAGTCTGAGAATAATTATTTGGGATAAACAAAATATTTCATTAGATTTTACAAATGTGAAGAAAAGAATGTGTATAAAGAGAATATATTTTTATTGCATTACCAACTTCTTAAGGCTCCTCTGAAGGGCTTGTTTTTCTTACAACTCGTGAGCTTGTTCACAATGAGGTCCTCCAAAGAGTCAATTTTTATAACTTGCATTATCTTTCTTGCTATCTGTACACAAATCTGCACAATTGCAAGCAGTGAAAGTCATTCCCCAAAACAGAAGGTAATTAGTTTTTTTTTCCTTTAAATTTCTATCGATTTATTTAAATGAGAAGATTGCATTGTTAAATTCGAACATATTATTCGAATAGCAAGTTGGTCTCTAACTATTAAAAGGAGCATATTTACAACCATTCAATATAGTTGTATAAACACATCGTGATAGAGAAAATCGTTTAAATCTCAATTAAATAGTCACATGATTCTCATAGAAACATTCATTAGGTTTTTTTTCTTCTTAAACTTACCCAAATCGGAAAAAATAACCTAGCTTTTTAAAGTTGGACATTAAGCGGTACACATGAGCATGTTTGGAAGTGTTTATAAATTGTATAGATTATAAATTGATAAAAATGAAGGGCAAATAAATGAGTAGTATTTGTAAATCCTTCGAAATCTGTAGATATAAAGTGATTTTAGTGTTAATAAATAATTTATAAACATGAGCCTAACATTGTACTTGGTGTTTCCCATAAGTCCATAACCTACCATCTCTTTAGTGATTATCATGCAGAAGACATAGTTAAGGCTCAGTTTCCTTTGCCTTGAGACAGTGGAGGACGCAGATATTTTGAGTTAGGGACACAATCAAATTTACAAAAAAGTTGAGAAAACTAGACTTTTTATACACTACTACTTCCAATAACCTTTTCTTAGGCTCGAAATTAAAAAAAATTAATAATAAAAGAATTGCATACTATAAACCTCAAGCTTAGAACATAAAGATACCAGATGTGTGGTCTTTATATTGATATGATTGAGTCATTTAATTTATATATCACTCCATCGTAATTTCTTAGTTCGTTATTAAAATAACTCTTGTTAAATATTGAATATAAATAAATAACTTTGTTTCTTTTTAGTATTTAAGTATATTTGTTAAACATATAAAATCATCAAATTTAATTCGTTAAAATATGGAATTGGTCAATAGATTTTTGATAACAAATGAAAGGAAAGCAGAAAAATGAAAATTAAATGATGGGTGAACTAAGATATTAAAATGATATATGCTTCGTTCGTTAGAGGGTGATATACCTTTTGAATTCATTATTATGCAATTTGGGGCTTTTATCTGAGTAAAAGAGAAAGTAAGTACCATGGAGCAAATATTTACAAAGAAGAAAAAAATTTGAGTAAAGAAAAAAAAACCCTCTTTGTGAAAAAAAATAAATAAAATTTTTTTTGGTGGGTCACATGCCTCACCCCCATTCCCTCGGTGCCTTGAGATGGCCTCTTGTAGTCCTCCGTAGATTTAGCAATAAATTGACAGGAGTGATGAAAAAAGGTTCAAGCAATCAATTCAAAATTTATTGACAACAAAATTAAATTTATTGTTTCTTTATTGTAGGGAAATATTTGTATTTACGAAGTGACAATAGGAACAACTTGCACCCGGGGTGCAGAAACCTCAAATTCAGTTAACCTGAGATTTGGTGACAGAAAATCAAATGACATTTTAGTAAACCGCTTGAATTCCAAGCATGTAAGAAGAGTTGATCCATTGGAGCCTCAAGTTCTTGATGACATTCCCAGAAAGCCATTTCAAGCTTGCATGGTGGATCAGTTCCAAGTTAAAGGCCATTGTGTGAAATCGCCCATCTGTTATCTTTATCTTAAACTAGTCGGGCACGATGACTGGCGGCCGGGTTTTGTGCAAGTTCGGATGTTAGATGAACCCTATTTCAGCTCAGAATATTTCTATTTCAGGCGATATTTGCCCCGTCTTGTGTGGCACGGTTCTGATGTGTGTGACACCAAAATCACTCCTTTCGGGGTCAAGTACACGAGGAAAGTCTTCCCAAAGAAAAATGTAAAACCTTAAGGTTAATTGAAAGGGCATTCATGATTATGCTGTATTGGATAAGATTGTGTTGGAGTAATAATGTGGCAAATAAATTTTTTTTCCCGAAATAATGTCGAAATCAACGTTAATACTTATAAAACATTCACCATCACGTGCCCTTTTATATTCTAACATCAAAAATGAAGTTATAATCTTCATCTTTCCTCCAATTTTTGATTTCCATATTCATGATAGAGTGGGTCATTTCAGGTGTAATTTCTCATTCATTTAAAATAGTTTTGGGCAAATTAATATTCAAATGCTGCACTATTGGTCCCCAACCTATTTTTAGTGGGTTATTTCTCAACTTTTTAATTTAATTACACAATTCGTTTTCAACAATGAAAGCCGTCATAATCTCTGTTAAATCATCACGTGACCATCACATGTTCAACTTTGCGAAATTAGATTTTTTTATGCATTACTTGGGCAGATGCTTAGAAAATTGAGGTAAGATAGGATTCTATGTGGCTACATGATGCTTACACAAAGATTCGGACTTTTTCTTGTCTTTTAAATTAAAATTGCACAATTATTAAAGATTGATGAGATCAACTTATGACTCGAAAAATAGATTGAAGATCAATGTTACAAAATTTACACAAATCTACACTATGATGAGCTCCTTGAGGAGAAGATCGCTTTCGACTTTAGTCCTATTAAAATCAGTATGAGTGGCCACATTTAAATATTCTCTCAAAATTGCCACTTTTGGCTTAAATTACCATTTTCCCGACGTGCTAAAGAAAAGATACAAATGATCAAATTTATCAATTAAACTATATCTAGTTCAATTTGCCAATTATGTAGAATGAAAGAAAGTAGAATAAATGAGAAAAAGTTTTGTCCAACGATAAATTAAGAGATAAAAGTTGAATATGCCAAACTTCTAGAATTGGGTTTGCTCTCCAAGGAGCATCTAATCTTAGGGTCCAAGGAGGATGAGTAAATAATTCATCTAACCCCACATATTGGCACAATCATGTTTGAAAATAAGTTACCTCCAATTTTCTAATTTCCATGTTTGATTCTTGAATTTGTTTAGATTTTAACCGTATCTTCATTTTCTAATTCCCTGTTTCTTTTTAGTAAAAATCTAAGTTTAGCTTACTACAAAAACATCACGAAGATGGATTAATTTTTCGGTTTTTGAGGGTAATTGGAAAACATGTATGATATGTTGTTAATGAATAGGTTTTATTATTCATTCAGAAAATTATTTTGCAGTTTAGAAAACAAATCGGAGAAAAAGCGTCAAAACATTGTATTAAATTCTTCATATAATCATACTTAGTCAAATTAATGAAATAACCTATCTATATTACGATATTTGTTTGTGAAAAGTAGCGCAGCAGGATAATGCATGTAATCCAAATATCTATAGTATACTACATTTTAAATAAAGAAAAGAGTAACATTGCTCACTTAGAAAGAAAAATAATACTAAATTGTTGTCACAATCACATTTTTAAGCTCAGCCAAGCTCATTTAGAAAATTGTTTCAAATCAATACAACAAAACACAGAAGAAACGACTAACAATTATATTAAGTTGATCTCACGAGCACATTCTAAGCTTATCCGAGCATATCTAATGAAATAATTTCTGGATTAACATTATATTTGTGAGTTAAAAGCTTATTTAATTATTATATTTGTAATTGAATTGCACATTAATTATATTAATTAAGAGTGCCAAAGTATAATAATTTCACACTTGACTTTGGTTTTGGATACTAAAGTGGGCCTAAAGAGTCTAGATTATCATCCCACGAAGACTACTTTATCCGAATATCAATTTAAATAATCTTGACCCTTATTTGATTGAAACAAGCATTTAGGGATTAAAAATTACATAAACTAAGAAAAGTAAAGTAATTAAACGAAAGTGTTTTATATAGATTATGAAATTTTTTTATTAAACTATTCAATATGATGGCTAAAGTGTGACGACTCACGATTTTTACTGTCATTATCACATTTAATCTCACCACTGAAGTTCAATTTCTAAATTTATACTCATTCGAATTCACTAATTAAATTAATTTACCTCTCGAATTCAAATTAATATGTCTAGTTGAGTCAACTCACTATATCTCTATTTGAATCTATATAAGCAACAACTAAATGCCTTAAAATTCTATTGAGATTCAATTAAAGACCGCAACAATCATAAAAGTGTGTCTTTACCTTTTATCCAATTACCGAATTTTCCTTATATAATTTAAATTTATAACTTACATATCAATTTGTTACAATTCAGAAATCATGAATTAGTGAAAGGAATTCAAGCATCAAGAAAAGAATTTAAATTAATACATAAATCAATAGGTACTTAAATCTTGAGAATTGGCATTAAATGTTCAAATATCTAGGTTACATCATTCTTCCCAACTAATGATTTTGTTACGCGTCAAAAGAAAGAAAGCAAAAAAAAAAAAAAAAAACCTATTGGAATACATAAACGGGGTTAAAGGAATAAATAGAAAAAGATAAATTTCTTGCACCTAGGATATGTCTTCTTCATGTCAAAACCTTGAAACTCTTGCCCTTTAATTCACTATTCTATTATATATTCTTGTAATCTTAATTTGAATTAATACCTAAATCGCCTTAAAAACCATATGTGCAAAAAAGGACCAAAACACCCAGGGACTTCAACAAACCTGAACAAAAGATAAACATTATTTTGAGTTCATGGAGTTGACTTATTCACTTATGATTTATGTTCATTATCAAGAACGGTTTCACACATCTATGTTGGTAGTTCTCACATTAAAGATGACAACTTAGGCAGTAGATGGACAAAATTAAACTAATCACAATGTTCTTCAAGTGTTCTTGTCTGATTACATTTTACCATAGAGTATAAATGAGCACGCTACATTGATTGGGTAATTCAATTTTAGACAAATAAATATAGACCAATCAGAAATTCACATCACGTGACATTTCAAGAAAAGCTCCTATTTTTTATTTAGTTTTTTTATGTAAAGAAAACATAAAAATATATGTAAACAAAATGAACACTCACAAAGACGAATTAAAGTACATCAAGAAGTGTTTAATTCATCATGCATATATCTATGGATTTTCGTAAAATTTCAAACCTAACAGTGTCTAAAGTCTTCATAAGTAAATCTGTCGACTTTCAGTGTGCATGCTTCCCAATAGTCAATTTCTGATGCAAAAATCTCAAAGATATCAGATTTTTCTCTTAAGAAATCCTCCCAAGTATACCTAGAGAAGTCATCTATACACACATAGATTCATTTTTTGCCACTAAGACTCTCAGTCTAAATAGGTCCATCAAGTCCATATGAAGTAATTCTAGACTATGAGATGTAGAAAGAAACTGACATTGTTTATGTGCAGTTCTAGTTTGTTTACCTTATTAGCATGAATCACTTACACCTTCAGACTTTTCAGTTAGCCTAGTAACTCTTGTTACTGCATTAAGGTTGGTAAGTCTGATCACATCACCATAGTTCAAGTTTCCCAACCTTTTTATGCCATAAATTTGTAGAATCATCTTTAGAAGCACGACAATTATCAGTAGAGCTAACACCACATAAGAACAATTATCATCATATTTTAAGATCTTGCATGATTTTTTTGTGAACATAACAAACAACACATCATTTAAGAAATGGAACGAATTACAATCATGTGTCTGGAGCAACCACTATAAAAATACCAAAAAATTTGGCAAAATTGATTTATAAGCAATATTGACAACATAGCAGCTTAGATCATTCTTTCTTACCCAAGCTAGTCTTACTCTAGCTTTAGATTTGTGTTTTTTAAGTCACTTGTAAGGAAGTTAAACTGTTCTTTCTTATACACACTCGTCAATTCTTGTGAGACAAGCAATGGAAGACAGCATGCCCAAAATTTTCCACAGAAAATACATCTGATAATGTGTTGATTTTTACCTTTCAGATTTGTGGAGTGATAGCTTTTCTGTTTCCTGATGGATTAATTTGAATCAAAGTTTTGGGGTTGGTCAGAACAGTTTTTGTAAGTCAGATTTTGCTATGACTCTGTTGTCTATAGTTCTTGTTGATTTCATGACTACAGCTTGTGATGTTCTGTCAGAGGTCAGGCCGACAAGCTACCACCGCAAGTTTCTTTGACAAACTTCAACAGATTAGATTCATTTCCCTTCCCTTTTCCATCATAGCCTAAACCCTCTTTTGATACTCGATGTTCTTCCATAGCTTAGTACTTCATTTGGGCGAGTGGATCCAATGGTTAGTTGTTTAAATCTTTCCTCGGTGTGATTCATTTCAGCGAGGAGTTCCATAACTTGATTTTCCTTCTCCTTCGAGAGTTTAGATAAGGTTTCTTTTTCAATTTCAACTGTAGCCCTTTCTTCTTCAATGACTTCCATTATTGCATGAAGAGTGATGTTCATTTCTTATTTAGTTTCCAGATTTCCTTTCAGGACGATACACTCTAAGCATGTATGACTTAGTCTTATTATATTTATATAACCAGTGAGTCTGAACCTGTAAGAACCACTTGCAACAAGTCAAAACCAGGCTGTGATTGACAGTAAAAGATTTTATCCGATTACCTTTAGTTATGTCCTCCTCCTCTGAATTTGAATCTTCCTTATCATCATCACTCAATGTGATGTTCGTTATGTATCCATATTCTTAAACTCATAACATTGAATGCAATTTTGAGTCCTTTCTATAGATGTAGATGTTGGTTGATTTTGCTTTGAATAGTTAGGAATTTCTTCTTCTGTTAAAGTTGAAATTTTATATTCATTTCTTCTAGATTGTTTTTCAAGAATTCCTTAAATTATTTGGTGAGCATGGCCATACGCTCATAGTATCACTTTCCTTATCATCAAGCACTTCGTCATCATTTTTAGCTTTCAACGCTACTCTAGATTCATTGTCTTTCTTTCTTCTATGAAGATGCAACTTATATGTTGAAAATTATGGAGTTCGACCCTAACAATACCTA